ACCTGGTTTGCCGAGCTCACGAAAGTGAATCGGCTTGTTTTACAACGTCGTTGCCAAGCGACGAAAACCCAACCCCGATGACAAACACCGTGGGGGACGGGAAGATGGGGGGGGGGGGGAGTGTATGGAAAGTGAATCGGCTTGTTTTACAACGTCGTTGCCAAGCGACGAAAACCCAACCCCGATGACAAACACCGTGGGGGACGGGAAGATGGGGGGGGGGGGAAGAAAATAATGGCACGAGGCAACGATGGAAGATAAGAACCCCTTGAAAATGTCCGAAGAAGAGCGACACCGACAAATTGTGCCGTTGGTGTGTTCCGGCTGGCTAGTTACTGTAGCGCACCAGCAACCAGACCTGCTGTAGGCCTAAATCTTGGTGATCTTGTCGTGATGCCAGTGGATCAGAAAACATGCCGAACTATCGAGGGATACGCGCAGTGTGTTTACGCGGCGGGTGTAGAAGAGCTCACAAGCCTTCGGTTTGATTCGACCGCTTTTGGCTTGCCAATTCCTTGTGTACCGTATTTTGTGGCGAGAGTTCCCCGCCACATGCCGTTTTTCGTTCGTGTGCCTCAACTCTAGGAAAACAAATACCATGTTCAACAGCGGCCCAAAGCATAGAACGCTCCTGACCAACATGGCATAAAGCAACTCAAACCTCTCAGGCGGGGAGGGCACGAAAGCCCTTCTCTATAGTTCGCCAAAGTCGGACACAAGAGGTTGCTTTGTGTAGTGTCGATCATCTTTTTTTGGTTCGCCCCTCTTTATCCTTTCCGTCGTGGCGAAAAGCACGCAACCCAGACATGTGCTGTGTCGTACACCAGTAGCATGAATCAAGCAGGCAAGTGTTTAGAGCGTAGTCTTGGCAGCAACAACTCTTTCTTTTTAATGAAAAAGCGGCCTTTCATGACACAAACGCTACCTCAACAATTTATCTTGCCGTCGAGAAGATTCGCGACGACACCAAGAGCAGTTTTAGGTTTGTGATATTGAATGGCAAGTGCTCAACAATTGGGGAGGGAGCTACAAACCGAGTGAGGTTAACAATGAATCGTAGTCCGTATGTTTCTTTAAGAATAACCCAACAATTTTTTCCAGAGGGCTGTCCTTAGTGTTTTCCTCGGTATTTTATGTACGGGATAGTTTTCCGTTTGTCGAGTTGGGATGAGAACTCCGAACTACCATCCCCATCCAATTTTTGTTTCCGTGGTAAGATCGATTGCACTGTTACCATCCAAACCGTTACCGAGCAACTCGCCATTGCCATCTAACAGTTGCTGCGCAAACACCGCAGATTCCCAACAGCCGCTCAGAAACACCAAGTGAACTACCGTACCGCCGTAACAGCTAACGCACCTCAGTAGATCAGGGACTATTTACGCCCGTGGTGGCCGGTTAGCCATTTGATAAATTACTGTGCTGCTGTTGTGGTGTCTGATGACCGCGGCAACCTTTACCACTATGAAAATCGTTGCCAAGGACAGCCCTGAAATAACATTTGTCTTTTGACCTCAGGGGAGTTCGCAACGATAGCAACAGCAGCAGATTGAGAGCACTCTTTTTTGGGGATGGACTCGACAAAGACATCCCAAAAGAAGGACCTAAAAACGATCGCGAGAAGGCAGGAGTTATGACAAGCTTTGATGACACACGTCATACCCAGAAGCGATTTCCGCGTCACGTTGAATTGAGGAAATTTATGGGGAAAAAGTCGTCAAACTTCGAAAAAAAAAAAAGAACGCTTCTCTTTTTTACCTCTGGACGAATGACACCGACCGCAACAGAGCAACGGCACAGGATTGTCACTACTACAAGAGTACGTCCGAAGTCGGATAGTTTTAGCGCAAAAGTGGTCGTCTCAATGTGTAGCAGAAACATGCCCAACGTTTGTTTGCTTTTTCGCCCGTGTCGAACGTGAGGAGTTCTTCGACGGCATGCAGCGAGAAGACTGGAGGGGATTAATGCTATTTTCTCTTTCCCCCAAGAAGCTGCGAAAGTTAACGCACAAATGAGACAGCGAGAAGAAAATAGCGAAGAAAAGTTCATTTATTCAAAAAACTATGTGCGATGCTCGTGATGAACCCGAGGAGAATCGAACTCCTAATCTTCAGGACTGGAATCTGACGCGTTACCATTGCGCCACGGGTCCCACTCATCGGCCACTCCATGGCAGCGAGGCGCAGACAGAGTTTGAAAAGAACCAAGGGGTATTTTGACGCGGTATGTGAGTTCAAGCTTCTACACATTTTGTGGCAATGGCTTGCCTCGCTCCTACAAGCTGGCTACACAACCATAAAGGATGATCTCGCTCAGGATGTGCCATTTTGTCAGGGACTTCAGCCGTCCGTCCCGTCCCCCCTTCCCCTACAATAGTTTCGCTGTGCGTTGCGGTACTGCTTTTCTTGCCATGTCATAGTGTGGTATGGTGTGGTGTGGTGCGCTTTTCTTCATAAAAACAGCGAGGGCGCGGAAGATATGACCGTGCGAATACAGTCGAAACAATACCGCTCCTTGAAAATCCCCACAAATTTTCACCCATCTGGCAGAATCGTAATGTATCTTGTGGAAACATGGAAAAACTGTCGCCCAATTCACCGCACACCCCCTGCTTCACGTCATCGATCGTGTACGACCCCCCCCCCCCTCCCCTCTATACATCTACAATCACGGTACCCCTTTCTTTCCAGACCCAAAGGGGCGCACGGGTAAAAATGCAAGACAGTCCCAGCCCCAACTGGATTACGAGTCTAATGTACACGGGGGGGGAGTACTGATTTTGTTCTACCCGACGGGCCCCCCTAGACAGGAGGCCACCCGCCGCTATAACAAAAGTGCGGCAACGTCAGTGACACGTTGCACTATCGAAACAACGCGCATGCACCGAACAAGTTCTGTATCGGTTCGCGTGTCGTGGCGAAAGCTCGAAGGCGGCCTCATCAACCAGGTATCCACGGTATATCCACGGTATGTCAGAGGTAGTACCACCTTTGCGGGAACGTCCCCTGCTCTCTGTCCGATGGCATGTATGTGTAGTGTGTGGTCTCTCTGCTTGCTCGGATCATGATCTTGTTGCCGAAGGAGTTACCGGCAGCGGCGGACATCAGGACAATACGCCTTAGGAGACCAGGAAGATGCCACCTGGTATCGCCAACACGTGGCCGCGATCAATCAGTGTCAATGCTTTCTTCTTTATCGTTATTTCAAAGTCCCAGTCGCTTTACCCCCACACGACGAGGGTCCACATCGTACTCGAAACCATCTACCACTAATAGTACTCTTGTAAAGAAAACTTTCACGGCGGATGGTAACGTTAGAACGCATTTTCTTCTGAACACACCACCAACAATATCCTACACGATGTTTCAACCTCTGTTAGACTTTGAACTTCTACTGCTGTTACATTAAAAGTAGAAAGTCCTAAGTTCCGCTACAACGGGAGAGTATAAGACGCCACGCGCTCGTTTTCACCGCTCCCCTCCCCCGCCTCCTCCTCCATGTATGTAGGTCGACCTCATCGAGCAGATGGGCCCCCTTCCTTTTAACCTCGAGTTCTTCACGGAGTGCCAGGACATGCGGGAGCTCTTGGCGTACCTCGACGCCCCGCCCGACACCGGAGATTCCGGAGAAACCACCATCCCTGGAGATGGTGCCAACGGCGAGCTCTACGAGGTGGCGGGAGGCGACCGAGACCGAGATAGGAGCGGTGGAACCGGCACAAGCGGCGCTGAGCATGGGGACCGGAGAGAGGGCGATGAGGCGGCAGTGGCCGCCGAGGGGCCTGCTTCCGACAGAACAGACAGAAGTGCGCCGAGAAATGAAGGTCGCGGGGCAGGCGAGGGGGCGGGGGCTGACGGGGGGGGGGGGGCGGACGCTGCTAGCGGAAACGGCGCTTGTAGCGGCAGTGGTGGTGGTGGACGAAGAAGGGGCAGGAACGAACGGTTCTACAAGATGACGGAGGAGATCTGCGATGTTGTCGACAGCTACGGGTTGGTTTGCTTCTACCCTCTCAATATCCAGGTGCGCGTGTCCCCCCCCCGCAGCTCCGCGGATCACCCCTGCGTCAACGTGTGTGTGTACTAGTAGCCGCTGTGTTGGCGCCCCGTTGAGCAGGAAACACGTCTATGCGGCTGTTAATCGTGAAGTTGCAAAGTGGGTAACGAGAACTAGGGCGTGACGCGTGTACTCCTCTTTCCGTTAGGCTTAAACTTATGTTCCACAGAGAGAGGCGACATGTACACCATAAGCATAGCGCAACGCAGAACCTGGTAGATCCTCTGTCGCGCTTGTGGCTCGAAACAGTCGTAGAGGACAGGCGTACGTCGTGGGCGCTCATTGCCCGCATGCATGTACAGGCGCGACTAAACATCGGCTTGTTTTATTTCATGAACAAGCAAGCTTATGCGTTTGAGCCCTGCAGCTGGGCATGTTTTTTAGCCGACACCTCCGATGGACGGAAACCCACCTCGTGCACGTAGTTACTGCGTCTCTCTTTTACGTACGTTTTCCTGCCTGTATCCAGAAGGCAGTTTCACTTGTATACTCAGACCCCCCGGTGGTGACCTTTAATTATCCCGCGGTGGTGCTTTGCCTCCTCTCACCCCTTCCTTCTTCAGGACGCGGAAACCGTCGGTCGGGTGCTGTCGCAGATCGACAAGTGCAACGGGTACATGCTCGGGGCGCGCGACACCGCCGCCCCGGCCGCCGGGGCCGGGGCCGGCGAAGGCAGCGTGAGCAGCCTGTTCCGCACGGCCTTCAGCGACACTCACGAGCCCATGTTCGAGAAGGTCGGCAGCGTGCAGGAGCGGTACATGCCCGACACTTACGGGGCAGCGCCGCCGGAGTTGGAGTTGATGATGAACGGGGCCGCGGGGAAAGTGGAAGGCTTGTAGCACGCTCTCAAAGCGGTCAAGAGTTGGGGGCGGCGCATGTTCGGTTGATGGGGTCGAGAGTTGATTTACTTTTTGTGGCGCCGGCTTTATAATTGAAAAATGTTATGGTGAGAGGTTGCAAGAAGAGTGAAACGCCACTTGAACCGGGAAAGGACCGAAACGTTCCGTGCTTTTTGGGGGCGGTCGGCGAGAATGGTTTTTGACGGAGAGGCGTGTGTTGTGATCAATTGGCGGCGCACGCCAGCCAGAAGCCATGATGACATCTCGTCTCACCAAACGTCCTAGAAGCCACTGCACACGTCGGTGGTATTTTCCTGCCCTCAGCGTGCTTGTGTATGTTTCAAGCGTTGAGTGCTGTACGCATGAGGCGGGGACAACTTGTGATAGCGTCGGCCGTGTACGTGGGTGCTAGGTGGTTGTTGGAGTGCGTTGTGAGCGCAGTAAGTGAGCGTGGTTCAGCGTGTTGTCCCAAGGACCGCATTTCGCCCGGAGAAAGTGGTTTGTCCGATTGATTGCAAAATGTCATCAATGTGTGGAGTCCCAATGTAGCGTTGAAGAGCCTCACACTACAAATTACCATGTTCAATGGGCTAAAAGGAAGATTTTCTTCGCGGTGTACACACGCGGACATCGGAGCCCGTCGAAGGCGAGGTGGATTATAAGTCAAGCACCTTGTCATTACAGCAGTAGTCCAAGGGGCGCTCCTCCTCTCCTTCCTCATGATGAATGTCCACAAAGAGATCCAGCATTAACCGACTGAAATGACGAACAACGGTAACTGGGCGGTATCCGATCGGGATCTTCTTGCCCGGCGTATGAGCTGGTTACAACTGCACGACAACTGCTGTCGACGTCTTTAAAATGGATGTAGGCCCCTAGACTATGAACAGCAGTAGCTCTGACCCGTCAAACCTAATAATATATATAGTCCAGTCTGCTGCTGTTTGAAGTAAGATAGAAGATAGAACCTTGAGGTATTTTCTGTACCGAGGTGTCTCGCTTTTCTCTGAGCTGTTGTGCCCGGCAACAACAAAAACAGTCATGATTGTTCGACGGCGTTTATAAAGCGACAGCGATCTTACAGCGTCCATGCTTACAGCCATAGTTCTGAATGTCAAGCAGTGATGATATTTGGGCTAAAATTATAAATTTGGTCAAGGTGTCGATCAGTGATTGGCTGAACGTTTTCCATCGAAAAGCCTGCGCATAGCGGGGCTGTCCGCAAAATGTCCCCGGGTCGCGCGCACCGAGAAACCCATACGCTGGGCACCGCAAGCGTTGGGGGAGCGCGAGAATCGACTGCTGTCCACCTGGCGAAGGTCGGTTGGAAAGGCGGAATCATATATCCTAGCATTGCGGTGAGTCCCCAGCAAGGTGTGCGTTGCGCAAACCCTCTCCAGTCCCCTACCTGTAGCCTTCGGTGTTGGAACGGAGGGATAGGTGAGGATAGGTGAGGGTATCGGGCTCTCTCCTCTCTGTGTAGGAAAAGAATCTGCTGCGTGTGTGATCCCCCGCGCTCCAAGGATGGTCACTGAGACCGCACTGGCAGGCAGGCAAAGGGTGTGCACGTCAGTGTGTTTGCCCACTGTGGGAGGTGCTGGGTCGTGGTCGCAATGGCGTGTTCTTTTGTTGTGCACAAAGAAACTTCTTTTTTCGGGGCTGCGCCCAGCGAAACGCGGCGCTCTGCCGCTCACGCGCTTATTAGTCTCCCCACAGGCTGAGTCGAGGCACGGACGGTTGTGTTCGTTTTAAGGTTGTGGCATTGCAAGAGACGACTGTGGTTGCTCGTTGCCGAGCACTTGGCGAGACGGCCAAAGTTCTATCTGTGTGTTTCGTTCATCAGGCCAAAACCCGATTTTTCTCTCTCCGCTGCCCCTCGCTTTCCTGCCATCGGGGCCCACAGCAGTAGCGGAGACAAGACCTCCTGCTGTGTTCCAGCGCGGAGATCTTCCACCCTTCCACCCCTCGAACCTCGGTTGTTCATTATCGATGCCCGCAAGCAGGCCCGCGTTTGTTCTAGCCTAGCCTGGCCACCCACTTTGCTGGTGTTGTCTGGTACGGTCTTGGTGTGTGCGCAAGAAAAGCGTTCTGCCCTCCGAGGGCAGAAAGTACAGACTCTCTCTCCGCGTGTTCTCCCTCATCTTGAGACGTTTTGCGTGCTCACAGCAACATGCCTTATGTTCCCGATTGTTCTGTGTAGCAACAAGGACACTTTTCCACCACCACCGATCTCGCTTGCGGTTCACAAGCAGCAGTAAGTGGACGGGTGGACGGGTGTCGGCCTGTGTTGCCGCTTAGTTCTTCTGCCAACGAGACAACAAATAATAGCAATGTGTCGCACAGTCCAGAACCGCCTATTTATACCCCATTTTTTCCAAACCTTAACACCCATTTCGGTGTTTCCATTCCTTCCCCCGTTTTTTTGTGGGGGGGGGGGGGGGGGCTCAGGCGCTCGCTGTTTCTCGGACGCCAACGCGGGAGTGAAAACGCTGGCATAGCGGCGGGGGTGGTTGAACAGGGCCAAAGGAGCGCGGAGTCTTGCCGCCTGCGAGGCAAAACGCTGTCGTGTTGGCCTTTTGGGGGGGGGCGGTTGTTGCTAACATAGAGGTGCTCTACCTGGAGGAGGCTTTTCGTCGCCTGGCGCCGCCACCATGCTGACCAAGTTCGAGTCCAAGAGCAACAGGGTTAAGGGGCTCTCGTTCCACCCCATCCGACCATGGATTCTCACGTCCCTGCACAACGGCATCATCCAGCTCTGGGACTACCGCATGGGGACGCTGTTGGACCGGTGAGAGCTGCTGCTGCGGGCTAACTCCGCTGTCGTGCTTTTGTATCTACATGCACACATTTGTGCATGAGACGGCGACGCCTTTTGTGTATGCATAGGCGGGCGCAAAATACCGGCGACTAAATGCCAGATTGGGTATGTCGCCGAGAGCCATACAGATACCGCCCGTGCTTAAAAAAAAGAACGCCTAGTATTGGCCGGGGTATGGTAGTATTGGCCGGGGTATGGTGGTTCTTAGTTCCTCTTGTGGGCTGTCGAATGTCCGCTATATAGGTTTTAGTGTACGAGTTTCTTCACCGGGCTCACAAATGGTGTGGTGCTCAAGTTCTCTTCTATGTGTGGTATAATGTTGGCATGGCATGGAATTCTTCACTGCCGAGTTGTTACGTTTTAGTGCGGACGCTATCTGTGGTAACGGCAGCCTAGCCTAAAGCCGCGACGAGCGCAGTATGAAGAGGCTCCGTCGGAGAGACTTGTGCTCAGCTACGGAAAGTGCGTACTTATCCTTCACTTTGGGCTCACATTACAATGCAGCAGCGGTGGACTTTTGTGCGTGCCGTGGGTTGCATGAAATACCTCACCCCCGGGACTGGTTTTCAAAGCTCGATTACTCTGCAGCGAAAATAACGTGCCGAAAATGACGGCGTTGGCCCCGTCTCGTCGAGGGCATTCCGAAAATTTCTGCCTACGTTCTAGGCACCTCTTGCGTCGTAGGGAAGTTAGGCGACCTATTGGTCGAGGGGGTGTGGTATCTTATGCAACGTATCATGCGGTACAGTGAAGCCTGCCAAGAGGCCTGTCACATGCCGCAGCCGTGTTGTTGATCGAGCGGCGACTTTGCGCGCGCGAGAGTCGGGGGTAGATGGGCTTGCCCCCAAGGCGGTGTTGCTGCCGCACACAAATTTGCAGCAGGCACGTACATGTGTACGAGCTCCAGGACTGCGATTACTGCTGTACTTCACCGCAAGTGTCACTCCTGTAGATTAAGCATATTCATAATATATAGGTGCGCTCTCTTTATACGACACAAGCGAACATAGCACTCGCGTACAAATTCGAGACCGCCGCTTGGCTCGTTTCTACTCGCCACTTCTACGGCGCTTCCTCTAGGTCTGTGCAAACACAAACCGCGCTAGGTTGTTGCCAACTCGGAAGCGGTCACAAAGCGGACGGCCGAGGAAGCGCCGTACAAGTGGCGAGTAGAAACGAGCCAAGCGGCGGTCTCGAATTTGTACGCGAGTGCTGTGTTCGCTTGCCTTTTGTTTGGCCTACTGCTTATCCCCCGAAGCGGCGGCTTAGCTCTAAGCCATCATCGTGCAATGATTCTTAACGATGCCCCGTCTCCCCCTCCTCCTCTCCCACCTCCGTTCCCGCTTGCTAAACCTCTTGTGTCCCATCGGCGGTATGGTGCCAACGGCGGCCGCGGAAATGCGATGTGGGATGGGACGTGAACCGGGCTCGGCGCATGGAATAGGTTCGATGAGCACGACGGGCCTGTGAGAGGGGTAGACTTCCACAAAACGCAACCGCTGATCGTGTCTGGGGGAGATGACTACAAGATTAAGGTCAGCAGCACGGGGACAGACAGGCAGCATATCATGTATCATCGTGTTGGCGGCTTGGAGGATGGTGGCCGTTGCCTCGCACCCGTAGAGTTGCACTTTTGTAGTTCACGGTGAAAGAAAAACACGTTTTGTGAAGAGTGCCAGCGTAGTGTGCCGTGCAAACACCGCGTGTTGGCATTCAACTCATCACAGATCTCTTTTTGATGCGTTGCATGAACGAAGCACTTCCTCCACGGCATTCAGTCCCCTCTCCTACCATAGCATGGGGGACAGATACCCTTTTTTTTGCTCAAGTCCGGCTGCTGTTACCGAACACTGTTTCGCCCATGCAGCAACCCCTCTAGTACATGTCTCTGCTCCTCCCCACACGTCGTGCCCATGCCCATCCTCGCCGTTGTCATGTGTCGCGTGGCTCAAAAGAGTAGAATTAATCGGGTGCCCCGTGTACTTTAACATGAAGTACCTCCCCCCCGCCTCAAATGCACCATATACTGCTGCTGCTCGTACGGTAAGGTCTGGGACTACAAGCTCCGGAGGTGCTTGTTCACCCTCCTCGGTCACCTGGACTACATCCGCACGGTGCAGTTCCACAACGAGTACCCGTGGATCATATCTGCTTCAGACGACCAGGCAAGCTCAGGGCGGTGGTTTTGAAAGGGGGCGTTTTTTCTCAGTCGCCACGGGCGTACGTACGTACGGATTGATGGCGTTGATGTTTCCTGGATTTTTAGTATATACTATTCCCTCCTTCCTAGAGATGCGCGCTCCCCATTGAGCTTCGAAACGTGCATCATATGATATGTACTACGTATGTCGTGCTGATATTAATACTGCATGTTTCGCCTTTGTGTGGGGTGTGGCTTCTTTTTTTGTCGTGTGCGGGATTCACACGTTTCTCGTGCATGTACCGACGTATCATACGAAAACCGCCGCGTGGTGTGTTGATGATGCTACTGGCGTCAGTGCCAGCTCTGCGTGATGCACGTCGTCTTTTATTCGTGACGAACGAAGACCTTCGTATTGGTTGGTTCAGGCGTTATTCGATGCTGCAACGTATATAAATACTCGATGTCCCTCGATGTCTTTCGTCTCTCTTCGATTGGCTCTGTGTTGTCGTTGCGGGGCCGGTTTTTCCGCAACGGGCAACGGGGCCAAAAGCAACGAGTCGCTTGTTGCTGCTTTTGTGAGTCCAGCGGCATGATACCACAGATGTTCTTGAAATCATTCTTCTCTTGGAAATACGAAGGTGATTGCCGTCCGTGTTTGTTTTAACTCTGTTCCCCGTTCGCCGCCGCCCGCCCCCAAAACCCCTGTCTGCGTACCCTGCGGGTTTTCTTGTTGCTTTTTCGGCCTGCAGACTATCCGCATTTGGAACTGGCAAAGCCGGACGTGCATCGCGGTCTTGACCGGCCACAACCACTACGTCATGTGCGCCGCTTTCCACCCGAAGGTAAAAAGGAAGGAAGTGGAAGACACGACGCTTTGGGGCCGCTTCTAGATTTTTTGTTTTGGCGGTCATGATGATGTTTGTTTGGTCGATGATATGTGTGTGCATCTCTGCGGAGGTCGTCTTTTCGTCTTGTTGACCCTTGGCAAACCGCCGCGCACGGTGCGGTGGACCTCAATTTAAAAAGTATCGGGTGTCGATTTTCAAAATATTCGTTCGGGTACCCCCCCACATGCAGCGTCGCCGCCCACCGCGGCGTTAACAATTGCTACGGATCCTTCCAATCCCCAGTATCGTGGTACAGAGCTTCCGGTCTCTACTGTCATCACCGCCGTACCGCAACATGTTGCTTTCTGCTCTGTCCCTGTTGTCCTTAGTCACATGACGGGGTCGTGTGATGGACCTCGCAATGTATTTCTCTTCTCCCTTCCTTCCCCACCGCCTGACGCGATGCGCTCGCGTTCTTTCAGGACGACTTGGTGGTGTCGGCATCGCTGGACCAAACCGTGAGAGTATGGGATACCACGGGGCTTAGAAAGAAGACTGTTCGCGGGGCCCCGTCTGCGATGGTAAGTGCCCTTGGGGGGAGTGTGCCTCTCGGAACACGCGTCGTGCCTTCATTTTTTTTTGCTGGTGGACTCCTACCACCAAGTGAGAGTTTCCATTGTTACTGTTGTTGTTCAACGAGAAATCGCCGTTATTGTGTGTTACTGCTGTTGTCGTTGTTGGTGTTGTCGCAACGGCCGATCATGCGGCAGCGTTGTTGTTGAGTTAGTTTTTTTCAGGCTGTGTTTCTGTCGCGACTCGAGCACGATTTACTTCGCTCCTGGCTGGTTTTTTGCCTCTTTTCTGTGTGACCGATACCCCTCCCCACACGTGCCGTAGACGTGATCGACGGCACTCAGGTCTCCTGGTGATTTATTTAGTATCATGAAGGACAACAATAGCCACACCCTTCCTCCCGTGCCGTCTGTGGGTCCCACGCTTTGTTTTTGTTCTACTACTACATGGTGTACGTGAGGGTGTCGGGTGGTGTTGCCTGGGTCTCTCTTCTCGTACGGGCGAACCGTGCGGTTCGTTTGTTCGCCCCTCTCGTAGGCATCGAGAAGAACAATCCGCGTACCCCCCTCCCCGCCGCGTCGTGCTATCACAACCCTGTATTTCACCTCGTTTTTTTTTTTTTGTCGTCGTCGTCGCCAGCCATACTACGACTCGTAGCAGAATGCCCAACAGCGACGAGCTGGTGTCGTGAACCCTTTTTGTGTTCTCTCTCGTTCGTTCCCCCCTCCGTTTTGCCCGCCCGTCTTTTGCGCGATGCTGCTCTACGACCCTCTGGTCCACTGGTAACACACCTGCTGGTGCTCTCGCTTTCTCTCCCATTTCTTCAGCAACACGACGACATGGTGTCGAAGATGAACTCGGACCTGTTCGGGGGAACCGATGCCGTGGTGAAGTACGTGTTGGAGGGCCACGACCGGGGCGTGAACTGGGCCAGCTTCCACCCAACCCTTCCCCTGGTCATCTCGGGGGCGGATGACCGTCAGGTGATAAAACGACTTCATTTGTTGTGTTGTATTGTAATAATAGTAAAAAATGTGGGTGTGCGCGGTATCTTACGTCACCTCGGGCATTTCTTCGCCATTAAGAGTATTAAAAGTATTCGACGCACATTGAGCCCTGCTGTGTGTTATAGTAACCTGGAGTATTTGCCGCGATAACGGTTTCCTCTTGCCCTCTTGTCACCCAAGGTAGGCAGGCGTCTCTCTATCGGTTCGAGCACGCTCAAGTCGGAGCACGAGTCGACCTCTATCCCCAAGGACACGAAGACGAACCCGAACCGATCAAAACAATCAAATGGCACGTTTGGTTTTGCCATGGTGCCCTGTCTCACATACACGCTCCTTTTTCCCCCTCTTTTTAAATCTACGTAGCACCCCCATGGTTCGCTAACGGTTTCGTTTGTCTCGCCTTGTGCGTGTTTGGTCTGAACGCCGCCGCCGCCGCCGCCGCCGCCACGGCCGCAGGTGAAGCTCTGGCGCATGAACGAGACGAAGGCGTGGGAGGTGCACACCATGACCGGCCACACCAACAACGTCTCGTGCGTCATCTTCCACCCCAAGCGGGAGCTGATCGTCAGCAACAGCGAGGACCGGTCCATCCGGGTGAGCGAGGCCGCGGGGTCACGCCCAACCTGGGATTATACAAAAGTGTGGTGTTCACGCTGGAAGTTGTGCTGCTTAATATGCATATGGCATTCTATTAAAGAGTACTGTACTGAACACTGCCTGCAGCTGTGTTTTTTTTGTGGATTTGCTGTGGCTGGACCGGGAAGACACTTTGGGCGTTGTTGGTGGGGCGGGCACGAGGCTCGCTTTTTTTGTGCTGCTGCGGATGACAGCCAGCTTTGATGAGATTGTCATGGGGGCTCCAGGGGCAAGGATACCGTTCCGTACCATGGGTGGGGTGCACACCATGCAGACCATGGGGCAAACGCTGTCTGTCGTTTCATTTCCCGTCGCTTGGTTTGCTTGCGCCCCCCAGGCATCCCCATATGCCGGGGCACCATGCGATTCAAGAGTATTGTTATTATTATTTTTTGTGCTTTTTAGCCAAACGTATGTAGGCATTGGCTAAGGCAGTTAGCTAGCACCGTCGATGCTTTTCAAGGCGCTTACACGCACGCACACTCGCACCCACGGACTATTGGTGAGAGGTCTTGCTTAGCCAGCCCTGCTGTAGCACCCGTCGATGCTAAGCAACATTAATCACTTTTGACACAAGACCATTTATACAACACACGCACGGACTCTTTAGGTGAGGTGAGGTCTTGCTCGCCCGCCGGGTAACAGCTGTCGATACTACGCAGCACAAACACTTGACATGTATTATCCACACACATCACAATCATACATAGGTGTGGGACATCAGCCAGCGCATGGGCGTGCAGACCTTCCGGCGAGAGAACGACCGCTTCTGGATACTGGCCGCCCACCCGGAGCAGAACCTGCTCGCTGCCGGCCATGACAGCGGGATGATCGTCTTCAAGCTCGAGAGGGAGAGGCCCGCCTACGACACCCACGGTAACTAACCCAACGTTGTTTTGTTTTGTTGTTTTCTTGATACATGACGACAAATCCGTCTCTACTAATAGATGTAAGGGTCTAGGAAATGTGCATGATTTGTTGTTTTCACTTTTGGCTCTCGGAGGGGTGCGGCCCTGTTGGGGTGCGATGTATCCCTGTCTTATCATGTACATACACCACGTGGACGGCAAGGTGTGTGCCTTGTTCAGCAGCGTCGGCCTCGAGTCTGAGATACTACCCATAACCCTTTCCTTTTTCCGTCATGATTTGGTGTCGTCGGTACGTACTCCGCCCCACGATGGCGGGGCACTATCATTAGCACACACCCGTCGATGGGACATCCATCCATCCATTCATCTTCCAGCTTCTCTTGTCTCCCCAGGAGCATCATCACGCCTCGTTGTTTCGCCGCCACACCTACGGTACTGCAGTTTGAACCCCCCCCCCCCCCCCTCCCCCCTCGGCGTAGGAAGTGGCCTGAGTACGCGGGAAGTGATGCCGATAGGATAGATAGGGTGGGGAAAACTTTTTGAGCCACCCTCGGCGAATTGGGAGGGAACCATTAGCGATCAGTGATCGGTCCTGTGGGAACAATGCTCCGTCCTCTAGAGGATGCGTGGTCAATGGTCGAACAACTAAGGCATGCAAAACATCAGGTATGTACCTCCCCCCCCCCCCCCCCCCTCTCGGGGACGCGTGGTCAATGGTCTAACCGCAATAGTATGCAAACCATGAATACCTACCCCACTGCCCTATCCCCCAACTCCCCCCCTCGACCCCCCAGGATCACGCCTCCTGTACGTGCGCGACCGCTACCTGCGGGTGCACGAGCTGCAGACGGGAAGGGACCACCCCCTCGTCAGCATGCGGCGCCCGGGGCAGAGCCAGGGGGCGAGCCTCGGGCAGGGGCCCCGCATGCTGCAGCACAACGCCTTCAACCCCGCCGAGAGCAACGTGCTGGTGAGCGAGAAAGAGGTGTCGCCAGCCGGGGGCGGCGGCAACCTTGTGCCTGGTGTTTCGTGGTGCCATGTCGTTGTTGTTGTTGTTGTTGTTGTTGTTGTTGTTGTTGGCGGTTGTAGACAGGAGTGTTCGTTGCGGGTGCTGGTGGAGAGTGGATGTTGGGAGGGGGTGGCCGGCGTGTTGGGCCATGTAGGCATCGATCGGTGTTTGGTGATGGTGGTGGTCTTGGGTTTTATGTTTTTCCGAGGACTCTTCTTGCGTCCGCGCGCTCGCGAGGGTGCCACACGCGTTCTCTCTCGTCCCTCTCTCCCGAAAGAAGATGCGCAAGAGCACACTTCCCCTCAAAACCGCAATCCTCTCTTCTCTCTTGTCTCTCTGACCCCCCCCCCCACCGCGCGTACCCCATTTGTCTTCTCTCTCTCGCGCGATGATTGTTGTTCCAAAAGGTGACCTACGACAGCGACGGCGGGTGCTACGAGCTCCTCACCTTCGGCAGCATGGACGGGGCCTCCAACGGCGTCGGGGCGGACCCGAACGAGCTCCGGAGAGGCTCCTGCCTGGCGGCCGTCTTCCTGGCCCGCAACCGCTTCGCCGTCCTCGACAAGAACCGCCAGGTTTGGGGGTAGGGGTTGAGGCTGCTGCTGGGCGTGTTTGTTGGTGGTGGTGTGGTGGTGGTGGTGGGAGGTGTCTGTGCGCTGAGCGTGTGCTTGGGGTGCAGACGGTAGAGTACAGGTAGGGAGTGGGTTCGGGGGCTGGTCGGGTGATGTGGTAGGGTGTCCCCATGTGTCGCTGGCTGTATTTGCCTCGTGCCCCGCTGACGCACGAGAAATGCCTGGTACAGTTGTCACACACCCCGTGCTAGACCCTTCGGTGCACATCCCCCTACCCCCGCCTTCAGACCTCCCCGCAGGTTTGGAACATGTCCTCCTTATTAGCGCGACCAATGCTATTATATTGTAGTTCTTCCGGACAGCAAGAAATGCTTGACCAAATGCAAAAGCATATTGCCGATACATGACACCACCGTCTCCTCCTCCTCGTTCCCCATCTCGTTTTTTGCCCGCCACGCTATCCAATCAGATCTTGATCAAGAACTTCTCCAACGAGGTGACGAAGAAGCTTACCCCTCCCCACCCTAACACGGACGGGCTGCACTTCGGCGGGACCTCCGGCCGTCTGCTGCTGCGCTGCGAGGACAGGATCACCCTGTACGAGCAGCAGAGCCGTAAGGTCTTAGCGGAGCTCCAGGTGAGGAGAGTAGGGAGTTATCGGTCACACGGGGTCCGGGGGGTGTAAAGACAAGCAGGAGAGTCAGAGGGTGAGCTGACTGACACGCATGCGTTAACGCAGCAAAGAACGTGGGTATTTTTTTGTTGGGCCGGGGGGGTTGGATGATTCACTTTTGTTCAGGTGTTGCATAGTATATGATGCCTGTTAGTTTTGTTTGTAGACCTCTTGTCACGGATACATGGCGTTGATCGGGAGCAAGCGAAAGTTAATTTCTCGCTGACACAAGCAGAGGTAGGCAGATACACCTGTGCGTACTTGCCCATTCCCTTTGGAACGCTGTCGAGAACAGACTCTCTGCCCGAAGACGTGCTTGGTTGCTTGCCCTTTGTGTGGGTCCTCCGCTCATCTCCGCTGGTGCTGTTGTGGCCGCCGCCGCCGCTGCCACTACTGCCGGCGGTGCTATCTCTCTCTTTCTCTGCTGCAGGTGCCCCGTGTGAAGTACACGTTCTGGAATCACGATTGCAGCCTCGTTGCCCTCGCGAGCAAGCACACCGTGGTCATCGCCTCCAAGCAGCTTGACCAGCTGTGAGACTCATGCATACTGCTGTTGTATATCCTGTGTTTTTTTTTTTTTCTTTTGTTTTGTTTTTGTGCCTTCTGTCTTGTAGCTGTTGGTGTCGTGCGCGTCTGCTCACCGGCGACGCTGACGGCGAGCGCCTCTGCCGACGCGCGCGTTATCGGTGCAGTGTACGGTTGGGCGGTGTTGTCGCGGGTGGGGGGGGGTTGCAGGCAGTATCGGTCGCGGTAGTCTCCTATTAGGTTGTTGTGCGGGTGTTGCAGTGCCAAACCACGGCAGGCTGTTCTTGGTGTCTACGTTGATCACTGCTGTCGTTAGCGTTGGGTGTTGTTGGTGTGGGGTGGTGTATCCTACTTCTTGGGGCTTGCCGCAATGTTGTCCCTGTTGAGGCGCTGACTGGCTGTGCATGCATGTGTCGCTGGATGATGTTGGAGCGCTAACCGTGCATGCATGCTCATGTCGCTTGGGGATGGCGGCGTCCGCCGTGTGTGTGGTCGCTTGGGGCAGGGCCACGGTTTCGGAGACGGTGCGCGTGAAGAGCGGGGCGTGGGACACCAACAACCGCATCTTCGTCTACTCGACGCTCAACCACATCAAGGTGTGTGTGACGGGGTCTGACGGGGTCTGACAGACAGAAAAAGAGGCAGAGGAAGATGACGGGTGGCCAGGTCGTCGCACGAAAGGCGTTGTCTGAGGGAGAACTTGTCTCGCGGGACCCTGCCTCTTTATTTGTGTGTAAGCTCCATGTGTTTGTTGCTGTCTGATGGAGAACTTGTCTCGCGGGGCCATGCGTATTTATTCGTGTGTCAGCTCCCTGTGTTTGTTTCAGTCATTAGCATCGACCGCACTAGCTGACTGTGACCAATGAGAAGACGCCAGTGTCGGCGGGTAGAAATCAAGGTTGCCCCAAATGGACCCGGCCAAACTTGTGAACCTGCGTGTCCGTGAGGTGTTTGCCCTCTCGCCCTGTGGCGTTGGTTGTTTGTTGTGTCCTGCTCCACGTGCTCGTCGTGCGCGTGAAGCAGCACCTCCTATTCACCAGTCGAAGGTATCACCGCGAAGCTTGACTCGTAACACGCCGCCCTTCCTTCCCCGTCTCTGCCCCCCCCCCCCCCGCCAACGCTCCCCTCTGCTGCCTGCTGCCGCCGTGGTGTGTGGTGTGTGTTGTAGTACCTCCTGGCGAACGGAGACACGGGGATCATCCGCACGCTGGACGTGCCGCTGTACCTGACCAAGGCCGTCGGCAAGAAGCTCTTCTGCCTCGACCGCGAGGGCAAGACCCGCGTCGTCGAGATCGACAACACAGAGGTACGGCATGACATGGTGACATGCGTGCATTCGAAAACTTAGCACGCCCACCGAAATCATAGAAAGATTGGATGTGTGCACCCGTTCGGACGAGATCGACAACGCAGGGGTGGGTACTGCATGCATGCGTGCATTCGAAAACGTACACACACAAAATCACTGAGAAGTTGCGTGTGCGCTTCGAAGATAACGCGTTTGAGGTGTTGTAGTTCACCGAGGGATGTGTCGGAGGTCTTTTTGGAGTGAGTAGTGTGGAAAATGTGGAGCATGCACGGCCAGATCGATTGTTGCGGTATATGTTTCCTGCATGCATACTCCATACCATAGAGAGTCCCCCCCTCTTGCCGTGGCGGCTGGTACTTGTCTACGGTTCTAGGCTCGCGGCGGCTGATCGACACCGGTGTGTGTTCGAGCGGATCCTGTTTTTCTTTTCTGGCGTCTCGCGGGTGTGCTTTATCTCGTTGACGACCCTTTTCCACCTCCCTCAGCGCAACGCGTCTCTTCTCGTATGGGTGTGTTTTGTGTCTTCATTGTTGGCGCCGACCGCGCTAAACGGGCTGACCAATGAAAGTACATTATGTAGAACCGGACAAGGCCTCTAAATGCGTGTCTGTGTGTTTGTGCCCTCTTACAGGCTCTATTCAAGCTCGCGCTGGAGGACAAGAAGTACGGCGAGGTGATGCACATGGTGCGCCACAGCCGGCTGTGTGGGCAGTCCATCATCTCGTACCTGCAGGAGAAGGGGTTTCCCGAGGTGGCTCTGCACTTCGTCAGCGATAACAAGGTGGGCCAATGGGCTTAACTATGTTCGAAGGGTGTGACAAGGACGGAGCCCGTTTGCTGTGGGGTGTTTTTTGTGCCTTCGCCGATGGAGGGCCCAGTTGTATTTGAAACCCAAGGGAGTCAACAGGGTTGTTATTGGTGGTGGAAGGTGAGGTTTGGTGGTATTGATGGCGGCATACGGTGGTCCAGGTAATAAATCGATGCCGATGATAGTGTCATTGGCGTAACTACTTCAGTCTTGCTGTTTTCGTTCTCACCGCCCTATTATGCGTGTGTTGCGCCGCACAGACCAAGTTCCGCCTCGCCCTAGCGTGCGGCAACATCGAGGTTGCCATGCACACGGCGGACAAGCTGCCAGACGACGCCATCTGGCACCAGCTCGGGACGGAGGCCCTCCGACAGGGAAACCATCAGGTAAAGCCCACGCGGCAATTGCCCCGCCGCTGCCGCTGCGGCTTTATGCGCTCTCAGCGATAAAAGATGGATGAGTCGCCGTGGGTGGCTGTAGGCCGTTTTTGTTCTTTTGCTGAAGTGTCTTGAGGGTCAGGTCAGCGTATCCGGGTTGACGTTGCAACTCATGCATGTGCGCATCAAAGAAGTTCTGGCTGTACCATGTGAAAGTTGAATGTCGGTGCGTGCGCATGAATGGGCGTGGAGGCGCCGAAGCTATCACGGCCCTTCGCCCGTACTGCTGCTGGTGGTCGGGGTTGTGTCGACGAACGGCGTTTGCGTTTGCCGCCACGGTTTCGCTGCGAAACGCGAACAGGAATCGATGTGTGCGCAGGTGTGCCTGTGTGTTTGTTGCGATGTAGCATCGACCGCACTCACCCGCTGGCCGTTGAAAATATGACACCACTCTTGCTAAGCGGGATCGAAAAGACAACAAAGGATGGATTTAAAAGACGTGACCCTTACAGAAGGATGTGCGTGTGCTCGTGTGTGACAACACACAGGTGGTGGAGATGGCGTACCAGCGCACCAAGAACTTCGAGCGGCTGTCCTTCCTCTACCTGCTGACGGGCAACACGGACAAGCTGCGCAAGATGCTCAAGATCGCGGAGCGGCGCGGGGACGTCATGTCGCGCTTCCACAACTCCCTCTTCCTCGGGGACGCAGCGGAGCGCGTATCGGTGCTCGAGTCCACTGGTCAGGTATGTATGTCCGTCCGCCGTTCCGGGCGTAGGGTGGCAGGGACGTGTTCTCGCTTGTTCATGGAGAGGCCTTTGTCTTGCTGTTTTGTAGCGAAAGGACGTGTTCTCCCTTTGTTTTTGGTAGCCTGTGGTCTTAATGTTGCGTTTCGTGGTGACGAGCCATGTATTTTGCCCGTGCACCTGGTCTGGCCGCTGCGACCCGGCACCTCAAACAGGCCCTTTTTTTTTTTTTGATGGGTTTGTTCTTGGTGCGGTTGGTTGCTCGGCCGTACGCAACATACTGTCGGGTACCTGGCGGCTTCGTTGTTGTTGGGCCGCTTCCGGTTGCTTTGTCTTTTGTGTCTCTTCGTGCCGTCTTGCATCCTTCTTGCCTTGTCTTGAAAGTCTCTTCGTGCCGTCTTGTAGTATCTATCCTTGGTCAAGCCCGAGCTCGAACCGATGTCCTGTGTTTTCGTTTGTCCGTGTGGCGGGTGCGATGCTTCCTACTGCCCACCTGTGGCAGATCTCGCTGGCCTATCTCACGGCCGCCACGCACGGGCTGGAGGAAGACGCGGCTAGGCTGCGAGAGCTGCTGGAGGCGCAGGGGATGCCCATCCCTCAGGTGGCTCAACTTTTTTGTTGTTGTCGGTGGCCCTTTAACTTGTTGGTGTGATTTAGTTTCCGGTATCATTTCGGTCGCTTTTGTCTGTGTGGGTGGTGTTGTTCCGTCTAGGATTCCGTCCGCCCAGACAAATTTATGCCAGAAGCACGACCTTCTTCTGACTTCTTTTTTTTCTGTGAGATGGGTCTTTGTCCCTACACGACGTGACGATTTCTTTCAACATCCCCGCCACCGACCCCCGGCCGTTGTCTCTTCTCGAATCACGTGTTTGCTTCCCCTGATCCCCCCCCCCACGGACGACTGGCCATCGGTGATCGGTCCTATGGGAAGGGACAATGCTCCACCCTTTCGAGGACGATTGTGTTTTTAGTCTTGACTTCAAATCAGCGCTCACAACATTTGTGCCGTGTACCCCAACCCGTGGTCACATAGAAGGATCCCTCTCTATGGCATGTAAAACATGAGCACTCCCCCCCCCCCCCGACCGTCGTTGCTTTTACAGACTCCGCCCCATGCGGCGCTCCTCCAACCGCCAACCCCCATAGTCCGCACGGATAACTGGCCGCTCCTGGCCGTCTCGAGAGGGCCGATGCAGGGAGGCGACCTCAGCTCGGCCGCTGGCGGAGCGGCAGACGCAGCGGCTGCCGCTGCGGGCGCCGGGGGGGACGAGGCCACAGGAGAGGAGTGGGACGTGGACCTCGACTTAGACGAGGACGAGATGGGTGGGCGAGGGGAAGGGGCTGCCAACGGCGGCGGCGGCGGCGGGGGGAGGGGAGGTGGAGGCGGGGGGGAGGGAGGGGGTTGGGGCGAGGACGACGACCTCGACCTTGGTGACGATGACTTGGACTTTGGGGACGGTGAGTGAGCGTGCTGTCCTCTGGTGCTTTTTGTTCGTTTGTTGGTGTTGGTGTTGTTGTTGTCGTTGCGGAATTTGGTTGAGTTGCGGAGTTGGTTGAGAGGCTTCTGCGATGTACTGCGGTGCCGTGAGAGGTTCTCGAGTAGTTAGCGATGCTTGCACGTACCGCCCGCTTCGGTCTGTTCGTTCTCAAGATCACCGGCCTGGCTTTCCTTCCCCTGTTTTCGTGATGGAAGAGATCCATCTACTGCGACTGCTTTTGGCTTGTTGAGGTGTTCATGCGGAGACTGAATCCTTCGTGTTTTCTTGTGTGAAACACTCGCAATGGCCCTTTTGGCGCAGCTTGTAGGGGCAGACCCCGGCGTGGGAGATGGCCGGTATTTAGTGTGATGGTAGCATCTAATCCGGTGGTCGTGGTATTGGCTGTAGACTAGTGCTGTCTTGCAGTCGCCTAACTTGTTGTTCTTGAGACTGTTGTGCGCAGAAAATGGTGCCAAGGATAGTGCGACACCCGTCGATAGCCTGTTTCAATGGGTTGGTATTTTACGAGCTACTGTAGTTGGTTGGCATACCAGCTGAACACACACACGGATGAGATTTAATTGCTGTACACCTCGCGTATTGGAGTAGGCATAAATATGCGATAGGCTGAGCTCTTTGTTGTGGGCTTTTTTCGGCAGGGAAAGTTGTTTTCTTGCTTGATGAGCCTTGTTTTCGTTTGTGTAAGCGTGGGTGGCGTTTTGTGTCCTCACCCTGCCCTTGGTGTCCTGTCTGTCTGCCTGTCTGCCTGTCTGCCCCTGCCGTTTTTATTTTGCCTGCCGCCGCCAACAACGTGAACGACGATGACGTTATGGCAGAGGGTGGGGCGCGGGCCAAGGCGGTGCCCTCGGACATGGCGGACTTTGCCATGCCGCCGGCGGGACGGTCGTTGCCGACGCTGTGGGTCGACAACTCGTCCCATGCGGCCGACCACGCCGCTGCGGGGGACTTCCAGGCAAGAATAGGAAGGAATGCTGCTGTGCGGTAGGGGTTAACGCTGGTTTGCACCGCTGTGAGCTAGCTGGGTGGTTGCTACATAAGTAGGGGGGACTTGAGAATATGTTGTTGCGTCATTGCACGGCGTCGCTGTGAGCTAGCTGGCTGGTTGCTACGGAGGGCGTTAATTAGGGTACTTTGGTGTATGTTTTTGCTTCATTGGATGGCGTCGTGATACTTTTTTAGTGAAGTTTGGTATGCAGGAGACATGGTTTAGATTGCACGGTCCGATCCAGATGGCGTTGTGTCGTGTGGCTTATGTTTGCCGCTGTCTAGATATTGTCAAACACCCTGTCCTCTTTCCTCCTCCTTGCCACACGTTTCTGTGTGGCAGCAGCGTGCGGTGGTGGTAAAAAGGAATAAAAGAGCAGGGTGCGATGCAGCTGCTGAACTACCAGATCGCGATTTAACTGTGCTACAGTCTAATGCCCTCTTTTCCCCTCTTTTTCCCTCTTTCTTACTCTGGTGTGGTGGTGGTAAAATCGCTACAAATAAAACAGGGTGCGATGCAGCTGCTGAACCGCCAGATCGCGGTGGTGAACTTCGAGCCCCTCAGGGCCCACTTCCTGGCGGTGCACACGGGGACGATGGCATCCCTCCCCGGGCTGAACGTCATGCCGAGCCTTCGGTCCTGCCTGCAGAGAAACGCCTCCGAGAAGAACCCGGAAAAGGTGAGAGAGGGAAGGGGAGGAGGGAGGGAGGGAGAGACAGACAGACAGACAGACAGACACACACACACAGAGAGAGAGAGAGAGGAGGAGCGATAACCAAGACAGACGGCTTGGCGTTGATGGAGTTGCGAAGTTGCAAAGAACGTTGTATAGAAGTATTTTCCAGCAGGAGGATGTTTTTTTTTGTCTATGTGGAGAGAGAGGAGAGAGAGGATGTTTGTGTGCTGCGGTCGAGATCTAG